TGCACTTACATATTTGGCGTGGCCGCAAGTATGCTCTAGCGGCCTGTTTTCTCTGCCCGCGCATACGCAAGCAATCACACACGGGCCCATTACATGGTAAAAGTATACTCACACAGGCGCACAAATATGCAAACCTCAGAGTCTTTCTTGGTTTTTCTCAACACACACACACACACACACAAAAAGACAGTTGCCACTTTTATCCTAGAGTGTGGGGTGGGCAACATATGGCCCGCGGGCTACATTTAGCTCACTTTGGCCGTCAATGCGGTCCATCGAGCATTTACAGTACATTAATAAGGGTCTTGAAATGTCTTGTATAAATAAGTGGAGGCTTGTGAGAATATCGCAAATATGCAGGGGTCCATTTTAAAAATCAAACGTCCTTGATCTGTCCTAAATTCAGTTTTGCCGCTTTTTATTAAATACACACAGATACATTTATTTGAACAGATGCAAACAGCTGAGTCGACTTGTGTGTTCCTGCATTGTAGAGATTGGAGAAAGAAAGTAAGGAGGAGAAGGAGGTGTGGGGGGGGGGGGGGATGGGGGGAACTTTCTTACAGACTGAATGGAACCAATTATAAATCAAGAGCAATTTCTGCCTATTATTCAGCAGGAACCCAGGGAGGGATTCGCTGCCCGGCTCGGCAACTCTCGGCAGGGGGACGAGAGAAGGGGGAGATGGGAGGAGAAGAGGGAGTGGGCTCAAATGTTCTATGAAGAACAGACATTGGGAATTTGAGATAAGACGTGGCCGTGAAGTCACAAGACTTGTATATAGGAAAAGCAGAAAGAGGAGGAGGCGGGAAACTGAAGCGAGAGCTTCCTGAGAGAAGAACCAGCTGGACCAAGATTTAGGCTTTTAGTTTTCCCTCTTTTAAAGCACAGCCAACCATTTGTCCTGTCACTCACACCCAAGGAGGAAGGGCTGGAAGAACTCTAAAATAAAAGTAGAATCTCTAAAAAGATGTTTGGCTGGTTATTTTTTGTCCTTGATTTAAAGGGGACACCCAACTAAATGGTTAGCATACAATTGGTTAGCCGATTAGCTTCTGCCAGTGAGAGTGTAGCATTGGCTGTTGTGAGCTCACGTTAGCAGCTGGCCGTTAGCGTGTTCAAAGCCTGGGTGTCATTTGGGGCCACAGAAGCTTCTACTTTCTATGATTACGCTTAACACGTGTTTATTTTGTTCATTTTAATTCAATAAAACCATTAGGTGGCATTACTATCCATTTTAAATAGCGCTGGTATGCTATATTAGCTAAAATTGGGGGGGGGGGGGGGAAAGGCACCAAAAAAAAAAAAAAAAAAATTGCACGATAATGTTGACCCCTTGAGGTATGCCAAGATCTCAGCTAAATCTCAATAAAAAGCTAAACCTGAAGCTCAAATGAATGCTCTGGAGCTTGCTGAGCTGAGGTCTCGCTCTCACGCTTGATGCTGGCCAGCTGACAGGAGTGCGCAGCGGAAAATTCCAGCTCTTGATAACCCTGAGGGGTGGGCGGGCGGACAAGCATTCGTCTGCCCGCGATTTATCGGCCTGGATAAAGCCCTTGCCAGCCGACGTGTGATTATCGGTTAACGTCCTTGGAACGGTGCCCCGGATTCCCAGGGCGGGAAAGTTGATATGCCGGCATTTTTTAACACAATAATTCATCCAAGATGACGAGGTTAAACAAATGTGTGTGAACGAGCTATTAGCGTGTCGCTAACAACACCCTGTAATCTCTGTCCAAATATCTACTTTACACACACACACACACACACACACACACACACACACACACACACACACACACACACACACACACGAGTGGATCAGTGAGCAAACAAGCACTTAGGCTTCACAATGTGTGTGTTTGTAAGCGTGTGTGAGAGGGCTAACGTCATTAGCGAAGGGGTTCTCAAACTTTTTTTTTGGTCCAGCAGAAACTTACTCATAATTCATAATTAAACACAAGTGCCGTGTGTACCCATAAATGCCAAAAAGTTGCTCATTTATGAGGAGGGGGTGGAGGGGGGAACGACAACGTGATAGCAGATTCACATTTTTCAAGAAAGTAATAGTTGAGAATAAAGTTGTATTTTTTTTCCTCAAGAAAAGGTGTAAGACTGACAAAAATAATTAAACAGTATGGAAGGAATTAAAAATCACCAATTTAATTTCCTAAAGACAACTTGTACAGCTAGTTGACCCCAGTTTGAGAACCTCTGCATTAACCAATCGACGGCCAATTCATTTAGCAAGCTAAAAGGATTCAGAGAAAAAAGAATATATGCGTGGGAAAAGGTTGCACATGCCGCTAAGAGGCACCTGAAGCGGAAAGGGATTTCTTCCCGTTTGATGGCGGCATGTTTAATTAGCCTCAGAAGTCTCTCTCTCTCCCCTCCTCCTCTCTCTTTTCCTCCCTCCCTCCCAATCAAGGATCAGGAGTGGACTTGGGGAGAAGGGGGCACCTGCTTTCCCAGGTGTCTCCCTCTTTGGATGGACACAGGAGTCCACGTACCTTCCATCAATCACTACAGAGGGACTCAAGAGGCGGCCCAATACAATACAAAGTACACCTCACATTTGATCATTTGCAATTGGTTACAAGGATAAGCGAAAGAGAACATATTATGAAAGGTGTACTTTTTAATACCTTATACACCAATAGTTCATAGTGCCTGGCCACCCATCAAATACAGTATGAAATCAAATAACCCATTCGGAAATTTGTTACATACTGTAGTTGTAGCATCAAGACAGAGAATTTCCCTTACCGTGACCCGAAAGCAAGGCCGGACCAATATTCAGAGTCACTTTCAAGCAACAACCAGAGTAGACTGTCTTAGAACATTAAGAAAGTCCCAAATCTTTCTGACTGCGAGGCCACTACCAAAGCTGAAAGGTAAGCAGAGCTGCATTGAGTTATGTTGGATACACACCTTCTTCGTTTGAGATTCTCATAAGCGGTATCGGTATATATTTTATTGGTCAGCAACGTTTTTTTTTAAAGTTAAAAATCACAACCACAAATCATAAATGATATCTAGTTGATCTCTTCCTGTCCAGAAGGACCACACAGGTGAGGTCTGAGCCGAGGGCCACGACCGCCCTGATTGGCCAATCCCAAAAACATCTCCCGTGGCTGCACGAGCGCCCCGCTGTCACAGATGAAAGCGTGCCCTCGAGGAAGGGGATTTCTTTCTTCCCTTTCTCCTTTGTCGCCAATGTTACAACAGGGGTGGGCGGGTAACTTTGAGCCCGTGGGCCTGATACCATGCCATGCAAAACTAGAAACAACTACAGCATCAAAGGAATTTTTTTTTTAAGTGGCAAAATGTTTTAAACATGCTCCTAATATATAAAAACTACAAAATCTAAGTGCTGGAGAAATTGCATGTGAATGCTGTGGAGCTGACAATGAATGGAATGAGCTGCAGAATCTAAAAAAAAAAATGCAAAATAAGACTTAAAAATAAAAAATAGCATCAGAGAAAAATGCTACCATCTGGAGTGATTGTAACCTGAGTACGAAAAAAATAAAATAAAATAAATACACCAATTCACACTGATTTACATTTGACCCTGTATTCGGGTACTATTTCAAATGAGAATGGATAAAATGCTAAACATGCTAGCGGTTGGTATGCTAATAGATAGCAAGGTAGCAAAATGAGGTCAAATGGCACCATTGATGAAATGTTGTTACGCAAACAAGGGAAACTGCAAAAAGCACCATCGAAGAAGCAAGATTAAACTGAAATAGTTATAGTAAGAGGCCAATGTCGAATTCTAATTTTTTTTTTTTTCATGTTTTGATCAATGGGTCTGATAATCAGAACTGGAATCAATTTGTCCAATTTAAGCGTGCTGTACTTGTCAGAAGTGATCAAGAACACAAAGAGCCTCCGTCCGCATCCAACCATTTTTCCAGAATTCATGCTCATTAGTTGGGGGTGAGCTGGAGCCTATCCCACCTGAATTCAGGCTGGACTAGTTGTCGGAAAAATATCGCAGGGCACGCACATTGACACACGTTCAATTTGGCGACTTCAATCTTTATTCCTCCGTCTTATAATAGAGCTTCTTGACTTTTAATCTGAGTGACATTGATGTGTGCCACCAAGATTCCTGAGAGCCCCTCCCCCCGAAAAAATAAACAATCACAAAAACAAAAACAACACCTGGGTTGGAGAAACTCGAGACCCCATTTTCCCCCCAAGGCAACCGCACACATTAGCAGGAAAGTTTAGGACCCATGTCAAAATAGCAGCGTGTAAGGAATGCTGCAAAACTTCATCGTCCGTTCTCTGGACACCACGTGACCAAAAAGGGCACTGTTATGATTGGCCGGCAGCATCTAAAGACGGTCAAGTAAATGTACTCACACATACAGTACATGCCAAAAACATCCATCCTTTCATTCTCTGCGGGAGAATGGTGCGTTCAGTGAACGCTGGGACAAAACACTCCCCAACAGAGGTCCACTAAACATCGTTGCCGTGGGGGTACGTAAACCGAGCAGAGCTCCAAAGTGTGCGTGCCGCCCCCACCACCAACTATATAGGCTGCGGCCTCCCAAACGTGTAAAAAGCGTGATTATCGCTTACAACCACGATTGCCAACCCCCCCAAAAAAGTCACGCGAATTGTGACTTTCCAATCCAAAACACGCTTCGACGGGTTAAAAGTGTTAAAAAGTGAAGCGAAAATCACGGAAAGGCTAACAAAGTGCTCACGTTGCGCGTCCACATGCCGAATTCACTTTTTTGTTAAAGCGCAAAAAGCGCATTGGAGGTACAATAAATATGTGGTTTGTCCTAAATCTCCATTGATAGAGTGCACTAGTAGTGTTCAAAACGACACAAATGCTGCCACGCTAACAAGCCTGACCAAGTAGCAACACGTAAACATCACTTTTGGAGTTTTATTTGTTAAAGTAAGCACAAGCTTCGAAAACATTGAACGCGTATTTTAATTCAAAGTCAGGAGCGCGAAGGCTTCAAACTCACCGAAACTGCTCGATTTAGCGCTTGCACCTCGTTTTCCCTCAGCAAAGCGATCTTCAGCTGGACTCTTTTTTTTTTCTTTTTTTACCAGTAGTCCTCCTCTGCAACAAGAAAAACAAGCAAAGTCGCTTTCTTCACGTGTTGTTGTTGTTTCACGAATTTACTTCGGCGACATTTTCTCTGCGTGCTCCCCCGAAAAAGGTTCTCACACTGAAAGGAGGTTTTTGGATGAGTGAGCTCTCAAACAATTCTTTCCCTAGCTCTCCTCCCTCCTGCTCTTTTTTTTCTTTTTTTTGCGACGCCTTCCCAGTCCTCCCATTTCCCAAAGCAGGAGGAGGGACCTTAACAATGCCGGGGACTAGATCTTTAACCCCCCTCCAAACACAAACACACACACACACACACACACACACACACACACACACACACACACACACACACACACACACACACACACATACACACACTCACAACAATACTACTGCCTTACCAGCCACAAACTGCAACCAACATATCCACCTCAGAGTTTAATACTATTCATGTTCCAATTTATATTGCTCATTCCCAAAACTACGGTGTCCTGGAAGGGGTATTAAGGGACATACACACTCCCCCAGTACTGCTGTTCCTTCTTCCCTCCTCCTGATTTGGTATGCGCAGTTTGTATTGACCCCATTACACCCCCCACCCCTCGTTTTATTGTGGCCATCCAGTGCAGCTGTGCTGTTGTGGGTCACGTTTTTTTGAACTGTACAAGGCACACACACACACACACACACACACACACGCTGGTTTCAGTGATACTCGGATCGCTTGCGCTGGCTCAAAAAGATTTCTTGACGGGGTGATTATGAAGAATCAGCGCTTCCCGCTCCTTCCTTCCTTTAGAAATTCTTCACTTCACTCAGCACATTTTTGGAAATGGCAACAACCAATCCTGCCCTCTTCACTCATAGTGTGTGTAACGTACTGTAAGAGGTCAAGAGTCGTGGCTATAATCTTGTTCAAGGTACACAACAATAGATTCTCTACCGCACAATCTGTTTCCCACGGGGTCTTGAACATAACAGTCAGGAAACAAGAGACAGAAGATTAATGACAAATTTTATCCAAGCAGAGAATAAGGGCAGCAAGAAAGTGGGCTGCTGCAACTAAGAAGAAACTGAAGGATGCTATACCCCACTGGACAAATTATAGCGAAAAATTACTAGTTTAATTTGATCCTAGAAGACACTATGGGCAGCGAGAAAATGGCACACTGTGGCAAAGTGGAGACATCCCTACATCCCAGTAGGACTTATTTGTAGAAGAAGGAGGGTAACCTGTATTAACCTAATGTAAGGAAGCCAATCCTATTCAAGGGGAAACTAAGGGCAGGGAGAAAGTGCACTGCTGCAGCAATTGGAGACTGTGGAGTATAATACTCTGATAGGATCGTAGAAAGGGTTCTGTCAGTCGTCATCTGTACCTGTGGGTAAAAAACAAAAAAAACAAAAAAAAACAAAAAAAAAGCAAAAAAGGACGTTTCGCTTCTCTCACAGAAGCTTCGTCAGCGGTAGACAACCCTGAAGTCTCCGTGAAGACTCCGGGAAGTTGCTCTGCGCTAAAAAGCTGAGCGTGGCCTGTTTGAGGACTGGGTGGGGATGGTTAGTCACGCCCCTATTGGTTTATTAGAGGCCCATTGGTTTCTAAATTCCCTATCATTGGGTCTTGATTAGGCCTATTGTTTGGGCTAAGGCTGAATAGCTACTTTCAGTTAGCCTGATCAGCATGTCTATGTCCCTTACTGGTCAACAAGTTATTGTAAATAGGAGACAGGTTAAATCTGATACCTCCTTCACGGTTCAGAGAGGGTGAAAATTTTTTAACAAAAATCGCTTCCTTTACTCCCCTTTCAAACCATCTCTTTTCTGTTCCTAGGATTTTTACTTGTTCATCTTCAATTGTGTGGTTTGTTTCTTTTAAGTGTGCGTATACTGCACTTTTGTTATCATTGTTTTTCCATTTGTGTTGATAAAGTCTTTTCTTGAGTGTTTGTTTGGTTTCTCCAATGTAATGTTCCTTGCACTCACTTTCTTGGCAACGGATGGAATAAATCAGATTGCATTTTTGGGTGTTAG